CAGATCAATAATTAATAATGAAACTGAGTCAGTAATAAAAAGTTCCTCATCAAAGAAAATTCCACTTCTGAGTGCTATAAAATATAAGGACACTTACAAAAGAGAAACAGAAGAGAGAGTCCAGAAATAAGTCTACAAATCTACAGTCAACTATTAACAAATATACCAAGAGCACATAGGAAAACACAAGTCTCTTCAACGAATAGTATTAGGAAAGCTGGGTATTCATAAGAAAAATGAATTCAGATCATTCTTTCTTGCCATATACAAAACAGTTCAAAACTGATTAAAGACTTAAATATAACAACCAAAACTATGAAATTACTAGAAGAAAATATAGGGAAAGAGACGTTGGTTTGTTTGAGCAATGTATTTTTTTTTTTTTTTTTTTGCCTATTAACTTCAAAAGCACAGACAACAAAAGCAAAAATAAAACAGATGAGACTATAAAACTGAAAAGCTTTAACAGAGTAAGCAAAACAAAACAAAATAGAGAAACCAAAGGAATAAAAAGAAAATTTGCAGAATAGGAGAAAATATTTGCAAATGATAAGGGATTACTACCCTAAAATATACAAGGAAAAAACTCAACAGCAAGAAAAGAAGCAACCTAATTAAAAATAGGAAAAGGATCTGAGTAGACATTTCTCAAAAGAAGACACCCAAATGCCTTACAGGTACACAAAAACATTTTCAGGACCACTAATCATCAAGGAAATGCAAATCAAGATCACAGCATCATTTTACTGCTGCTATCAGGAAGACAAAAGACACCAAGTATTGGTGGAGATGGGGAGAAAGGAAAACCCTGGTGGAAATGTAAACTGAGAGAGCCATAATGGAAAAAGACTATGAGAGTTCTTTAAAATACTAAGTGTAGAATTACCACAGGATCCAGCAGCCCCTCTATGGGTATGTATCTAAAGGAGATGAGGGCAGTATAGCACACAGACACCTGTGTTCCCAGGTTCACTGCAGCACTGTCCAAATGAGCAAGATATGGCACAAAACCAACTCATCAACAGACAAGCGAATGATAAAATGTGGTAAATAAACTCAATGAAGTACTATTCAGCCATAAAAAAATTCAACCTCATCATTCGTGAGAACATAGATGAAACCAGAGGACATTATGTTGAGTAAAATAAGCCAGGCACACAAAGATAAGCACTAAATTATTTCACTCATAGGTGCAAAAAAAATGTTGATCTCACTTGCAAAAGATCTGGAGACCAAGAGAAGACCGGAAGGAGAAGGGAGGGAAGGTGTAACAAGAAAAAAAGATGTGGTATAAAAAGAAGTAAGTTGTGGCATGCACACTGACAACTCCCCTTGAGGAACGGAGTCATTATGCACTGAAAACATGTACTAATAAAAATGAAAGCTAGGGAGATAGCTCAGTAGAATAAGCGCTTGCCTGGCAAGCTCAAGGTCCTGAGTTCAATCCCTGGTACCACAA